CAAGAGCATCACGTGGTGCATAATTGATGTTCCAACGGGCGTCGCGATCAGTTCAGTCGTTTACTTGTTAAAAGGTGGTTTGTGCTTTATTGAGTACCAAAATATTTTGGTAGGCGACGTATACTTCGCTATAAAACGTTTAAAACTTTAAAATTTTATATCTCTGTTAGTTCCAGGTATGTATTGTTATTCATATTAACAGAAACATCATGTTTGGAAGCTTTGTTTGTTTAAACAAAAAATTTATTGTAAAAAACGTGTTCTTGTTCACACTTGGGTAAAACGACATATTAAATACTCGGGTAAAATGACATAGTATGTCATTTTGCCCATATAAATTTTAATAATAATATGGTAGGTAGAATATTAATGTATGGTATTTTTCTTTTTTAGTATGGTGGGACACTACGAAAGGAAAAGTACACGCCAGTCTTGGGATCCAGTACAAATGCAAAGAGCCATCCAGGCAGTCCAGTGTGGAGACATGGGCTGGTTAAAAGCATCGATAACTTTTAATGTGCCCCAAGCTACTTTAAGAAGACGAGCATCAGACAAGAATAAACGGGTATCAGGTACTAATAAAGGTCTTGGCCGGTACGAAACTACGTTCTCTGTAGAATTAGAAAGAGACCTCGTAACACACATAAAACTCCTAGAATCAAGTTTGTTTGGATTATCTTGTGATGACGTTCGTTCTTTAGCCTACCAGTTAGCAGATCGAAATGGAATAGTACACCGATTTAACACAACCACTAAGATGGCTGGTTGGGATTGGTTACGAGGGTTTCGGTCTAGACACCCCGATATATCCCTTAGAAAACCCGAGTCCACGTCTGCAGCAAGAGCGCAATCATTCAACAGGCCGCAAATTGCCAATTTTTTTAAACTTTTAGAGGATACTATTACAAATAACAAAATTAATCCTACACGCATATGGAATGTGGATGAATCAGGCCTATCCACGGTTCAAAAACCCGGCAAAATATTTGCAACCAAGGGTCGGAAGCAAGTGGGCCTAATTACAAGTGCGGAAAGAGGGCAGCACATAACGATGGTTGCTTGCATTAGCTCAGTGGGGAATTATGTTCCACCAACACTTATATTCCCCAGGAAAAATTGGAAAAAGAATAATAGATGAAGCCTTAGGAACTTAGGAATAGCACAGGAAACAGGATGGATGACAGGCGAAGTGTTCCTAACATGGATGAAACATTTTAAAGAATATTCTAATCCTTCTATAGAAGACAAGGTTATGCTGTTGCTTGATGGGCATGCGAGCCATAAAAACATTAATGTTTTAACTTTTGCCAAAGAACATGGAATAGTGATATTGTGTTTTCCGCCGCACTGTACCCATCGTCTACAGCCGTTAGATGTATGTTTCTTTGGTCCATTAAAGAGCTACTATGATCAAGAAGTTACCAAGTGGATGAAGTGTCATCCAGGCAGAACAGTTTCGCAATACCAAGTTGGAGGATTATTTGCTACAGCGTATGGAAAAGCAGCTACACACCAAAATGCCGTTAGTGGATTTTTAAAGACTGGAATTTGGCCCCTTAATCCCGACATATTCCCTGATTATTTATTTAATCCTTCCAAAATAACAGATATTCAAGAAGAAGTTGCAATTCAACCCCTAACAGAGTCAAAAGAAGAGAATGATAATGTTTTGCGACATCAAGATTTTCCAGATCAAGGAAACAAACCGGTTTCTACACCTAGACCAAACTCACTTGAAAGTTGTTCTTCAATTAATCCTGGTATTCGTCCACTTGACATTTCACCTCTTCCATCGTGTTCAGGTGTCCAGTCACGCTCCAAAAAAAGAAAATCAGAAGGAACAAAAGTTCTAACGGCTACCCCAAATATGAAAGAACAAAAAGCCAAAGCACTCGAGAAGCGAGCTACAGAAAAACGTCAAGCTGCAAAGCGAGCAATTAAGAATCTGACTTTAATGACACAAGATCGCGAGGAGGAAACAAAGACCATTGTGTCAGATGATGACGAAGACGAAAATAATCCTCCATGTTTATATTGTAACAGTTTGTACTCCCATTCAAGGTCCAAAGAATTCTGGATTAGGTGCCAAAAATGCTCAAAATGGGCACACTGTGATTGTGCTGGTATCTCAAAATCGTGCAAAAAATTTATTTGTGAACTTTGCTAATTTAGTTTATATGACATTTTATCCATGTGAGTGTGTCGTTTTAGCCGAATATACTTGGATAAAATGACATAGCAACGTTTATTTTGTTTCCTTTTTTTAATTAAAAAATATTGTGTTGTTAGAGTTTTATGTTCCATGATCTGTTCTACTTCCAAACAATGAACAACATTTATGTTTTTTTAAATTTTTATTAAAAAATTAAAAAAGTTATTGGACGACAAAAAAGTAATATATCATTTTAGGCCAGGTTCCCCTATAAGAATTCTTAGGTGTTAGGTCTTTAGTGTTCTCCTCTATGGAGTAGAAAGCTAGAGCCTTACAGAAGATGCCATAAAACGGTTAGAGGCATTTGAAATGTGGTGCTACCGACATATGTTAAGGGTCTTAACATACACCACACAAGTAATAAAACTATTCTCTAGAGGCTAAGAAAAGACAAAGAAATTATTAACACCGCAAAGAACAGAAAATTGGCTTACTTTGGCCACATCAGGCGTAATAATAAATACCGACTTTTACAGTTGATTCTACAAGGCAAGATTGGGGGTAAGAGAAGCCCTGGACGTAGACGTATATCTTGGCTGGCTAATCTTAGGTCTAACGTCAATTGATCTATTTCGGGCTGCTGTGAATAGAATAAGATGGGTCAATGTGGTCGCCAACATCTCTAGAAGATAGGCACATTTAGAAGAAGGTAACTAGACTACTCTTCTTCTTCTAGTTCCATGACCGTTATCGATCGTTGGATATCATGTTGGCTACCATATTCGCTATCGTGACTTTATTGACAGCAGCTCTAAATAACGATGTAGTTGATTTTCCATACCATTGCCTTAGATTTTTCAGCCATGATGTTCTTCTTCTACCAGGACCACGATTACCTTGGATCTTTCCCTGAATGATCAGATGTAAAAGATCATATTTTTCAGGGTGTCTCATAATATGACCGAATTATTCCAGCTTGCGTTTCTTTATTATATTGACCAGTTGTGTTGTTTGGTTCAGCCGTCTAAGGACCTCCTCATTTCTAACTCTGTCGACCCAGCTTATTTTCAGTAGTCGTCTGTATACCCACATCTCAAAGGCTGTCAAGCGTTTAAGGATAGCCTCAGTTAGGGTCCACGCTTCTACTCCATACAGCAGGACAGGAAAGATGTAGCAAGATATCATACGAACTCTAAGGTCAATGCTAAGATCATGACTGCAAAGTACGTTTCTCATTTTTACAAAGGCAACTCGGGCTTGTTCTATTCGGCTTTTAATTTCTGCGGTTGGATCCCAACTCTCATTGATATTACTGCCGAGATACACGAGTTTCTCTACTCTGTCCAGTGTGGCATCTCCGACTTTTATACCGTCATCATCACTATCAACTAGACTACTACCGAGTCATATACCTATGTATGTGATACCATCATCATAACAAGCCAGAATAATGAACGCCAGAAGATCTATGACTACAATAAGATTTTTGATTCATATAAAAATTTATAATACAGCAAACTGTGGAAGTGTTTGAAAATTTTACTAGACTTACGATTATTAACTATAGCCAATGTTTTCTTTTTTTTTTAATGCCATGCATATATTTTATCTTTCCTGCATTCATTATAACATGTTCTGGTTCAATTTCTTGAAATATTGGTTTTGATATTCTCTAGTTTGCCACTATAGCTGTATCATATCCATAACCTATGATTTGTGGGGTGTTCTTATTTATGGTTCTTTTATATGATATTTTTTATCTAGTCGAACTACTTATTAAACAATAGGAATCGCCTTGCTCATACTGTTTTTAACGTTTATTTTCTCCGTTCCCAAACATATTTTGTTAGGGAATCCCTAATAATTATTATGAAAGACTTCTCATATACAGATTAATCTGTGACCTACATTCGTAAATACACCCTATACAATTCAATAGGAAATAAGATAGCTTTTACATCACTGACCTACACCCCAAAATCCCACCTACACTACCCCGTATACTGACGGTAAATGACATCATCGGTCGTAACCCCCCACTACCTCAAATAACACGTGGTGCTATTAGTATTGACAAATAAATTTCCGTCAACAATATCACACAAACTCTTAAAATGTCAAATGTAAATACTCACCCTGCTTTCTAACAGGCATTTTTACGACACTACACAACACTTAACTGTCAAAAAACACCTGAATATACAAAAACTAGGCTACCGATGAACAATTTCGCGATTTCGGCGTTATTCTTCACAAAGTTCGCTTGTTTGAGCAAATACTGAGGATGGTAATAACAGTGGAAACGTCGTACCGACGGGAAAATTACGATTAAAACACGTAAGGGTAAGTAAGATCACTTTTTAGAACCTTACTATTGCCCCCATTGCCTTTTGGCACAAACTGAAGACGGATAGCGTCGTGACGACCTTGTCGTTTAATGCAGCGTCGATATGGGTGGCGCCATCCTCGGAGCTTATCGTTAGCTCAAACTGACGCCTAAATTTGTACACAGAAGTTTCAAAAGATGGCGTCCTAGTAGTAAGATATAGATGTCTAGATAACAATGGATTAGTTGTTTAAATAGTCCAGAGATGGTGCATAAAGTTTTAATCAGAGATGGTGCAAAATAAATCACACATTTATATTTGACAAATAATGATATAACTGAAATTTTAACACAGAAATAAACTAAAATAAACTTTAATTTACTGTCTTTATTTCTTTGTTTTTTTATCACGAGGATGTTGTATTTACTGTTATATATAGAACCGAATAATCCTTTTTGTAAGAACTTATAAAAAGAAGAAGACAATCTTGGTGACACTGACATTGTAGGTTATATTATTGTAATACATGTAAATGTAATTTGTAAACGCAATTTTGATAAAAAGAAAATGTTTCAGTGAATACATAAAACTCAATATGGAAATACTTAGTGGACATGTTATGAACTTGGCTAATAGCATTATAGGTGTTAGCGTACTTGCAATGCCTTTTTGCTTCAAACAATGTGGAATAATCCTTTCTATTTTACTATTGATGATCAGTAGTGTTGTTTCAAGACTGGCCTGTCACTATTTACTAAAATCTGCGATTATTTCAAGAAGAAAAACGTTTGAATTTTTGGCGTTTCATCTATTTGGAAGCATAGGAAAACTTGCCATTGAAATTGGAATGATTGGTTTTTTATTGGGCACTTGTATTGCATTTTTTGTTGTGATGGGCGACTTGGGACCTTTAATTATAGCAGAAGTAACAAAAGCAAACGTTACAAGCACAATGCGAACCAGTATTTTGACATCATTGGCTGTATTTGTTGTGTTACCACTTGGATTGCTGCGTAATGTCCATAGTTTAATTAGTGTTTCTAAAGCTACAATGATTTTTTACTGTTGTTTAGTTTTAAGAGTGATAATAGAAGCTTTGCCTGCCTTATTTGAAGATAGTTGGTATGATAAGGTTAATTTTTGGAGGCCAGAAGGTTTACTTCAGTGTCTTCCAATTTTCTCTATGGCTTTATTTTGTCAAACCCAACTATTTGAAATCTATGATGTAGTACCTAATCCTACTCTTGATAAAATGAATATTTTGATACAACATGCAGTTAATTTCTGTACAGCAGTTTATATGTGTGTTGGTATTTTTGGATATATAGCATTTGTTAATAAACCATTTACAGGAAATATCCTGTTAAGTTTTGAGCCAGGATTTATATCTCACCTTATGAAGGTAGGTTTTATTTTTTCAGTTGCCTTTAGTTTTCCTTTGGTAATTTTTCCATGCAGAGCTAGTTTGTATTCATGTTTATATAAAGAAGGATATTCTGTACATGAAGGCAGCATAAATTATATTCCTGAAGGAAAGTTCAAAGGTATTACGATTTTAATAGTAGGGGTTTCACTTGTTATGGGTATTCTTATTCCAAATATTGAATTGGTTTTAGGTTTAGTGGGCTCAACCATAGGAGTTATTATTTGTGTATTGTTTCCTGTAATATGTTTTATTTGCATTTCTCAGAAAAACACTAATGAAAGAATTATTGCACAATTTCTACTCATGATAGGTGTTTTTGTGATGGTTGTAGGAACATATAAAAATTTACAAACAGTAGATACTTTAGAACCAACTATAGTTACAGTGAAACCAATTGAATTGGACCCTGTAAAAATAGAAATGAATATTAATAAACTCCCAATTACTGAGAAATTAGAGATAAAGCCTGAGTTGGTAACACCTGAGAATAAAGTAAAAGAAGTCAGGCATGAACCTCCACAACCTATTGAACCCATAGATGAAGAACCTAAAAAAGATGAAAAACCTAGAATTGTTGACAAATTAGATAAATCTCTAAAGAAGCTAGAAACCATAATTCCTGCTGACAGAATTGAGGTAGTAGCTGCAAAAGCCAGTATAGTCAATGACACTAAAAATGATCAAGTAGATATAGAAGCTATTAAAAAGGAGGACAAAGAGGAATTATTAGAGAAATCAAATACATTGAAAGAAAAAGATAATGTAGATGAACATAAGGTCTTAATAGAATCTATACAAAAGCAAAATGAAGTTCAGAAAGAAATTGTAGAGCAACAGAAGGAACTATTAGCAGTTATAAAAAAACAACAGAAAGTTGAAGAAGAAAAAAAGATGGATGAAGTTAAACAGGAAAAAATGAAAGCTGTAAAAGAAATTGAAAGCATTGCTCTTAAAGCTATAGAAAAGATTAGTGAAGGAGAAGATGCTAAAAAAGTAGTAGATGATGTGAAAAAAGGCATAGAACAAAGTGAACTAAAAGAAAAGAAAATAGAAGAAAATTTGAAAAAGAAGGATATTGTAAATAAGGACAATGATCAAAAAGATGAGAATAAATCCAAAGTATTAGATAACAAAGTAAAAGTTAATGAAGAGTTTGAGAAAAATGTTCAAAACGTCAAACAGGAGGTCCAAGAAATAAGTTCCCAGCTTAATGAAATAAATAAAAACTTAAAAAACCAGCAACAAATTGCTGATAATATTTTACCACAAAACTCACCTGATAATAAACTTCCATTACAAAATTTGCCCAATAAAGAATACATAAATACTGCCGAACTTAAAGATCAACCTCAGAATAACGACTTTATTCCAAAATTACTTCAAGATTCAGGATCTAAGATAGAATTAAGTAAAAATGGATCAATGTATTTAAAATCTGGTCAAAAAGATATCAAAGTCATAGAAGAAACCAAGCCTTCGAAGCTTCTTCCTTTACCTATAGTAATGTCACAGTTAAATAAAAATGTCAATAATCTATTACCAAATGTAGAAACCAAGGATGAAAAAAATGAAGTTTTAGAAAAAGACAGCAATAATGAAGCCCAAGCTATGAGGAGAGATATACTAAGTGTGTCTACAAATTAATATTTTGCTGTGTAAAAGTTTTAGGTTGGTTTTTCTTAATATCCTAGAGAAATAATTTGTTTTTGTATTCTGGAACTAAATATAGTGAGATAGGGTTATCATCTTTACTGTACTTTTCTACCACCTTATTCCTGTGCCTCTTATGTCCACCTCTCATCAGAATCTTAGTATAGTGTGGTACTTGAGCTCCATTCCGGCATGTAGTTTTCACAAGATAACTTTAATATTTCTCCTAATATTTTTGATAGTGAATTCTTTTCTTTTTGTGATGCACTACTGTTGTGTGTTGTCATTTTATTTTCATTCTTTTTTGTTTGTCGCTAGATAATGTTTTGTATTTCGTAGAAGTTTGTAATAAATTAAATTCTTGTTTTTTTATATCTGTGCAGCCTGATAAAACTGTAGTGTTTACATGTTTATTTGAGTACTCATATAGTAGATGGATAATTGCATATTTTCTTAATTTAAGTTGTTTGTTTGGTGCCTCACTGCTCACTGGTACATTTTACTGCTCGTTCTCTGAAAAATGTGTGTAATTTACTGATTTTTAAACTCCAGCACACTTCTAAGGCTCATCAATTGTAGAAACTCTTGTTATCCATCAGTCACAAGGGCCCCATTAGATAATTGGATGAGAAATGTCTGCATACACATTTAGTTTTAAATTGGGAACAAATTACTGATACTACAACTTCTTACATCAGATATTTTTGATAGTATTTTAGCAAATTGGATAGTTTATTCGGATGAAGTATACATTACATTTACATTTAATTCAATTAATATTTTAACACAGAAAAATTTTGTAATAATATTAGCAGTGTTTTGATGAAACCATTTCTTTGTGACATCTTAGCTTTTCTCAAATATGATGCAGAGGCAAACCATAAATTATTGATTTGATATTTCACACTTTGGTTAACATGATCTAATCTATAACCTTTGATTTCCTTTAGAAAAATCCAAATAGACTTATTTCAAAATTGTTTACATTAATAACCACCAGTCAGACAATGAACTAGAAAAGTAGTTTTGTTTTATCTTTGGCTCAATATAATAAGACTGTTTGATATAAAAATAATTACACAGTAAAATATCCTCTCTCATGAAATTGTATAGATTACTTAGGTTAATGATAATATATTTTCATACCTACTGTATGCCAGTTATGCTACAGCAAACGCCAATTATGCTATTTAGTGCAGTTTTTAATACTACCCATTTTGCGACATTGTTTAAAGGGAAAATGAGGGGTGCAAGTTTTTGTGAATACTAAAATCCCTTTTTAGATCTGCCACTGAATAATTGCCTAACTTTTAATCATTTCGCTGGTGGTGAGAAGAGTCTGGTGACTCAAAGTATGTTGTACACACAACGTACATCATAAATGATGTTTGTTGTAGCTATATAAACTATGCTGTTTAAATTTATATCATAAACAACGTTTTTTAAAATTGTGATATTTATAATTGTTGACTGTGATTCTTGTAAATATAGCAGTAGGTTGTATAGATTTATAAGAAATATAATGTAATATTAAAATGAGTTTTATTTATTTTGTCTGTTCCTTTATTCTCACTTGTGGTCTTAACAAGTAATATTAAGATATATTAGAAAATAAATATTTCGTTTTGTAATAGAGTGGTACAAAAGGTCACATTTAGCTTAACATGTATTCCCATTGATTTAAAAAAACCCAAGTGCTCTAGAAATAGGTATTTGCTTATGAAAATACAAGAAATAATAAGATTTCTTATGGAGACTAATATGAACTTAAACGACTTATTTATCAGAATAGTTAATAGGGCACTAAGATCAGGAGTAACGATGTATTCATGAGACAGACAACTTACCTAGGGTGAGACAGAAGAAAAGGAATAGAAGGAAAATAAGACTAAAATATAGATAGAAAGACATGAATAGAATTTGGTAATAAATTCCAAGAGGTCGTTTGGTCTCAATCAATTAACGAAAAGACGTTTTTTCATATTTTTATGGTGTTGGCGAAATAAATTCTCAACACAATATGGCTAGGACGCGCTTTATTGAGGAGGAGAACTTTCCCGCCCAATCTGCCTTGCCTGGTGTACTGTTGAGCTTAGACTTAAAGCCTCTGACCGACACGGTAACATATTTTTAGATTCCCAATTATTTAGAATTTAATAAATTAAAAGAAACTAAAAAATAATAAACGTCTTTATATCTGTAAAATATTCTAAAGTAAAGAAGCAAATATTTTTGTAATTAATATACAATGAACTCCGGATTGGAAACCGTTTTCAAAATAGACGTTAACATTATCTGCTCATATATAGACATTTCCCATTTGTCCCCGTCTTCCCTCTATCGCCCGATTGGCCTTTTTTTCATTTGACCTATACATTACATAATCTCTCTGTCTTCAGTCTTGACCCTCTGGAGGGAGTGTAGTAGTTATTGTAAAGTCATGTATGTTCAACATCTATAAATGTTTGTCTCTTATCATTTATATTAATCCGTAAGTTGGTCTTTACACATTCCTGTGATCTATTGATCCAACTTTTTAGTAATCTTCCACGTGGTCTTCAATCTTTTACCTTTCCTTCAATGATAAGCTTATCCATATTGTCTCTGTCAGATCTTATGGCATGTCCAAAACATTTTAATTGTTGGAGATGGTCTCTGCCGGCAAGTTACTATACTGATCTTTAGCTTAAAGTCAAATTATTTGTTTTGTATGGTACATGGAATTCGTAATACACTTTTCAGTGGCATACATAGCTTTTCTTTCCGATTGTATCAGTGTCCAAAATTGTCAGCCAGTATGACAGTATTGGCAATATTCAACACTTGTCCTATATCATTTTGAGGGTTTTTGAAATTTGGAGGTCTTCAAATTTTAGTCATCTTGTCCATAGCAATTTTTGCTAGATCACACCTACGTCTTATTTTCTCCTGTACTGGCCATGTGTTTATGATCAATGATCCCAGATACAAGTACACAGTATATTGCTAATAAACAATTTTTAGCAATATACTGTGACTTTATAACATTAAATCGGTCAATATTGGTTATGTGTTGATGATTGTTGTGTTGCATATCCGCTATCATGATTTTGCCTTCGATATGATTAATATCAGACCAAATTTTTTATTTTGAAATACGTATGTGAGATCAAATTAAATATTTTTAGCTGTACACACCAAAAGTTGTTCTACGCAATCTGATCATTTGTTTTTCGGACATTATAATAAAAAATAAACATAACGTTTATTGCCTAATAATATTTGACATGTCATTTTGTATTTTAGCCTTCTTTCGACGTCCCGCTTTTGCACCGTCAGCTTCTGATGTTTTCTCCCTCTTGGCATCCTGGACTTCTCTGGGTGGTTTCCTCGTCTTCTTTTGTAGGTACTTTTTTCGGCATTGTACCTACTTCCATGCTTGGCTGTTTTCCGGCAACCATCCGGCTAGACCCTGATCAGATGGTCGATCAGTTTATGGGTGTGTCTATACATCCTCTGGATCCTGTTCTTCTCGAGGATGTCCCTTACGGAGTCTTCTGTGGCTGGTGGAAGAAATACTGTCCTGTTCTCAGCCACCTCCCTCAGTGGTGTGTACTGGAGCCTTTCTTTGATGGTTGCATTCGTGATTTTTTCTTCCCAAGATGTTCCTTTTATGATCCGGTAACATGATGTTTCTGTAGATTCTAGCTTCTTCCAATGGGTCTCTGCTATGGAACTCCAAACTGGGACTGCATATTTTCGGACATCTCTTGAGATGCCCCTTTTATATCTTTTCAGTGCTCTCTTTATAATATGCTCTGAGTGGAAGACAAGACAATATTATATAATAATATACGAGAACATATAGAATACAAACATATAAAAAATATACAATGAATATATATTTCTTTAAGGCCTTTAAGTTAGGTGTGCTTGGACTAATAACAAGCGACGTCAATATCATTACGGGTTGCATCCATTAGACATTCGAAGCTACTTCAACGCTAAATTAACCAGAGGACTGTAGTCCCGGATTCCAGAAGCTCCGGGGGCACCACAAGCTATTTAAAAGAATTTTAAAAACAAGAAAAAGAATGAACAGCAATAAAGATACGAAATAGTGACAATTTTCAAATGCTACTTTTTACCTCAACAAATGTCTTGTTGGAAATTTATGTTATGTTGTATTAAGTGTAAAATATAATAAAAAAATGAAATATTTTATGTTATTTTTTTTGCTATTTTGCTGTCGAGGGCCCCTTACCATCAAGCCCCACCAAGGTTTAATCCGGCGCTGGGCTCCATTGGCTGGACTACTTTGGACTTGAATACATATACACTGTCAACTGGCACTTCACACGTTACATCTGGTAGTCCCAGTCTGTAGTATGTTAAGAGATTTCCCATGATTCATCGGGAAAGACGTTAACTTATGCTCCCAACTTCTGTTCTTTCTGACTTCTGACTTTTTTTGCTATATAGCGTTACTTATCAAGTACATGATTGGCCTATGTTGAGTGTTTGGTATCGGAGGTCCCACGTCTTTTCAAGACTGATGTATTATCTGCGATACCATACAATACTGATTCAGTATTGTATGGTATAAGGGTATACTTATAAGGGAAATCAGGTGTTGCAGTACGCCTACTTCTTTTGGTATCCACCATAAATAATGTCATTTGATTTTCTAGAACGCTTTGAGGGAATCTATAAACCAGATGCACAACGAGATGATGAATTCTCTTGATTTCTCGATTATTTGTCTTATATTCAAAAGTGTTCTCGTGTAAAAATATTTCTCGTGCAAAAAATGGTAATTGTAGATTGTGTCCAGTTAGTCTGGAATGCCAATTGGGAAATAAAGGGAAAAGCACGATTGATGCAATCATGAGTGTACTCGAAGCATTGCGCAACAGAGGGAATGAACATCGCTGGGCGGCCCTGCTGTTGTTTGATGTTAAGAATGCATTCAATACGCTGCAGTGGAACGAGGTAATGAAGGCAATGGAGGAGAGAGAATGTCCTGGTTACCTGATGAATGTTGTGGCGGAGTATCTGTCCGAGAGAAGGATTATGGTGGAAAAGGGCACGATCGTGGACGTGACGGCCGGGGTACCCCAGGGATCTGTCTTGGGCCCGACGCTATGGAATCTGGCATATGACGGGGTTATGCACTGTGAATACGGAGAGGGTACAACTCCCTTCGCATTCGCGGATGACCTCGCTGTACTGGTGAGTAGCCCGGGATGAGCCAGATCTCAAATACCGGGTTCGGAACGCAGGTGGCGTCGTAAAGAAATGGATGACGCAGCACGGACTAAAACTTGCGACAGAGAAAACCGAAGCCATCATTCTGAAGGGGACAAGGAACAGGCAAGGTGTTGAATTAAAATGTGCGGGAGTATGTCTAACACCCAAGAAACAAGTAAAGTATCTAGGAGTGACATTGCACCAGAATGGAAAATGGGGGGAGCACGTTCGGGAGGTGGTCCGAAAGGCTGCGAATAGTGCGGCTGCGTTGGGGAGAGTGATGCCGAACATTGGAGGACCCAAATCCGAAAGGAGGAGGGTCTTACACGGTGTTGTACAGTCTATCGTCCTCTACGCGGCACCAGTCTGGAGCGAGGCGGTAGAGATAACGGCCTATAGGAGTCTTATGAAACGAGTAGACAGAACAAGTCTGTTGCGAGTGGCATGCGCCTACAGGACTGTGTCTGCGGCAGCCTTATGGACCATCACTGGATGTATTCCGTTGCATGTTTTGGCGGTGGAAAGAAAAGAGCTTTATGAGAGAAGAGGCCCAAACCTTACTGTGGCTGAGAGAAGACAGGTAAGGGAAAGGTCAGTTGTAAGATGGCAAGAAGAATGGAACAAT